GGGGTTTCGACATATCTTCACCTGGACGGATGGAAGGTAGGTGGATAATTTTGTTAGAATTGATACAACGAAAATGAAACACAGCTGGACTACGGCAGCAAAATGTTCTCTCATTTGATACATGCACTCATGCTGACTTCTTTCAGCAACGCCCATTATTCCCCGCACTCGCATGGCGGTCTGACGACACATCTTATTCGTCGGGGGTCTCTGACAATCTCATACCCTGATGATAATGCTAAGCATAATGGGGAAGCTGAAAAGGTGACGTTTCGAGTTGGGGAGAGGGTTGATGTTCCTGCTGGGAAGGTCCATGAGGTTTGGATTGGGGATGAGGGATGTGAGTATGTGATTGGAGAGTAGAAGGATGTGACTTTTGCTTTTACTATATTGTTTCTACTGATTCGAAACTTCGTTGATGAATATTTTGTGACATTTATGCCGATGAGCTCAGCTCATTTTATTCTAGTTATTGAATATTTTAAGTCTACCTGTGCCAGACAATGTAGTCGTGTCTCTAGTGCAAGAATCGGAAATCAAGTCTGTAGTGCGGGTCATTAGCATTCAGTTGCGCAGCAGGAGACAACTCTTGACATACCTCTTGTTTCCAAGATCTTTGTTTTCAACAACGTATCGTGAGCGCTCTTCGCTGGACATCTTATCCCAGACAGCGGCGTTTTGTCTGAAAAGGAATATTAGCAAAAGTAATTAGATCAATCACAGTACGGGCTGACATACTTGTTACGCCACACGTAGTAAACCTTGGCAAGGATGAATATCGCCATACTCCACACCGAAAGAGCAATAAGGACCTTATTACCGGTGTGGTAGTACGGTTTATCTGGGGTACGGTAGACCTATGTGATGGTTAGTTATGAAAACCCGAGAACAAGGACCGGAAAGACTCACGTTGTTACCAATGATGTTACTAGCCTGCACCATCATATTGTAGATAGCAGTAGCAACCGTTCGCGTCCTCACAGAGCCTGCATTGCGGGATGTAATTGCGACAATAATCGCATGCACATAAGGCATACCAATCAACAATATCAGCAGAACCCAACGCACCCAAGGACTAGCACTCTCAGACACAGTCTCCAGCGCGATCAACAAGACCATAGCCCAAATCTCAGCACCGACGCCAAGCAGCAGTCGCTGATTGAACCGCTCGGAAGCCCAAGTCCACAATAGCAGGTTGATAATGAAGATCACATAGGCCGGGATAGTGAGCAAGTTGGTGTTAAAAGTGCTAAAACCGAGCGACTTCAGTTCCAGGCTGATGTACGACGTAGCCGGTGTGCTGGGGATCATCCAGGTCAGGCCAAGCAGGTAGATGAGCCACATGTCGTAGTCCTTCAGGGCCTGCCAGAGCAGCTTGGGAGTCACAGCCTGGCGATTGTGCATGGTTCCCTTACTCGGGTCATCGCGCAGCACACGGTTGACCATGATTTTCTCTTCGTGCTCGTTGAACCAGCCCTTCTTACCGCGGAACCGGCCTGCGGTCTGTGTTGGCGAGGGCGGCATATAGAATGCAGCGACGATACCGATCAGTCCGGTGATACAACCCTCCAGGGCGAACAAGTATCGCCAGCCGCCGGTGCCGTCCGATTGGCGAATGTGGAGGAAGCCAAATGCGAGGAAAGCGCTGACAATCGCGGTGGCTTCGTATGTCATCCAGAAGTAGCTGAGTCGGATAGGCAGCTCTTTGGACTTGTACCAGAATGATAGGAAGAGAATGGTGTCGGGGATGAAGCCACCCTCGAGGAGACCGAGCATGGCGCGGGTCGTGAAGAATCCGGCTCTGTTGTGCATGAATGCCTGGCACGAGGCGATGAGACTCCAGCTGATCATTTGCACTGGAATCCAGCGATCGGGGCCGACCCATTTTGAAATGAGCTGAGAGGGCAGCTCGGCGAAGAGGAATGTTAGGTAGAAGATTGTTTGGCCGGTGTTGTAGTCGTTTGTGGTCATGCCTAGATCGTCTAGCATGTTGTCTGACGTGGCCTGGACGATGTTTCCACGGTCTAGTTGGAGCGCAAAGAAAGTCATACAGGCAAATGTGCAAATGCGCCAATCAATCTGCGAAGGGTCAGTTACTTGAACAGAATACGGGAGAGTTCAGTAACCCATACCTTTCTGACAATGGCTTTCTCTTCTTCCTCTGTCCACTCAAAGTCCGGGTCCCAGCGATGGGCACCCTCATATTCAGGAATGGGCTTGTAGAACCGCGGGTCCTCGGTAGTATCAAAAGCACAGTCGGTCTGCTTGGCACGAGGGCTGTCATACGTCGACGAAGACGAAGACTCTGCGGATAAGACTTTCTGGGTAGGCTTAGAGTCAATAGGCCCGGCATCGGATGCCGTTTTACTGGCGTCTTCAACCGTCATCTCGTATGGGATTGGAAGTGAGATTACGGATGGAGAAAAGAAGCATTGCTTGGGCTGGGCATTTACTCATATAAGGGGAGACTCATACGTTTATTTATCACGCCATATTTGGCAGATGTTTCGCTTTGGCCTGCGCAGGATGTGGACCAGGCGAAAAGGTAAAAGTCACAACATCGAGGGCAGAAAGTTGTGGAACTGCGATGATCCTGGGCGATTTAGAGTCAATTAGGGTTGACGAGATTGGCTAGGTTGGCTCGGTTGACTTAGGGAGGCCTAGACTGGAACTCGGAAGGGCATTCTACAGGATAGATAGGGTAGACGGGGAAAGTTTCCAGATAAAAGAGATTTGTTGAAGAAAAATAGACGGAAAGGCGACGTTGGCTTGAATCACGCAAGTGTAGTGGGATTGACGTTAGAGTCAACGAGTTAGCGGAGTCAAAGTTAGCAGGGGTCTCGCAGAATGAACCTGTTTCATGCAGATCTACATGAATGCGAGTTAGCGTTGAATTAATAAGTATTCTATGAACTCTTGTATGTATTCACTACAACCTATAGTGATACCTCTACGCCGTACCCTAAGTCCCTAACATGTTCAATATCTAGAACATTGACTATACAATACAACTATAACTATGGAGATAATATAACTACTAGCTATAATAAATAGAAAATATCGCGCCAAGCCAGTTGTATATGACGCCATCAGCATCGTATCTCGCGTACTCCAACAGCGCAATGGTCGACTCGTTTTCTTCAAATCACGGCAATTGGCAATGCACGCACGCAATTCGGCTATCACGTCATTCCCAATGCGACGCTTATCTCGTATACATACAATAAGAGTACGTACCTCGAACCTCCTCGGCTCGCTCGCTAAATAGATTGTATGATAACACAAAGTTGACACTTTTCTTATTGTCCCGCAAAAACCGCAAAACCCCGCAATGATGGCGCAATTCGTGTGCTCGGTTTGCTGGTGCCGAAATAGATATATATTGCCAGTGTAAACCCACTAGAAAAGATGAAGAAACATATCTGATCCGCAGAGGCAACATACACATACGAAAACTCAAACATGGCTCCCTCCCTCACTGAGACAGTAGGCCTTCGTGCCCCGCCTGTTGCGCTTCCGCTCAAGGCGGACGGCGGTTTCAACAAGGAGAACTTGATCGGCTACAAGATTGAAAAGGATGTTGAGATTAAGGGCACAGACAAGGTGGCTCCTGTATCTTATCCGGAATATCTGCCTGTTTGGGACAACGAGACAGAAAGGTATGTATTGGCCTTATTCCATCCCAGGAATATCATATCTAATAGACATCTAGATATCCTCCTCTGACGCCCTTTGAGCACTACGACCACGGCAAGGATGCCGACCCCTCTTTCCCAGAACTGCTCCCCGAGGGAGTCCAGGTCGACCAGCTCACTCCCTTCATTGGCTCTGAGATCCACGGCGTGCAACTAAGCCAACTCTCCGACAAGGGCAAGGATCAATTGGCCCTGTATGTTGCACAGCGACGGGTCGTCGGTACGTGACAGACCATTTTTCCATCTCCATCTCTAAGCATGAATCTAACAAACCATCCAGCCTTCCGCGACCAAGACTTCGCATCCCTCCCGATCCAAAAGGCCGTCGACTATGCCGGCTACTTTGGCCGACACCACATCCACCAGACCTCCGGCGCCCCCAAGGGATTCCCCGAGATCCACCTCGTCTTCCGCGGTGCCGACGACCGCACCGGCGAGACCTTCCTGAAGCAGCGCACCAACACTATCACATGGCACTCGGACGTCACCTTCGAGAAGCAGCCCCCCGGCACAACATTCCTGTATGCGCTCGACGGCCCCACCACCGGCGGCGACACCCTCTTCGCTGATATGGTCCAGGCATACAAGCGTCTGTCGCCTGGCTTCCGGGAACGTCTCCACGGATTGAAGGCCGTGCACTCCGGCCTCGAGCAGATCCACGCTAGTTTGAACGGTGGTGGTATTGCCCGCCGTGATCCTGTTTCATCGGAGCACCCCATTGTCCGCACTCACCCCGTTACTGGCGAGAAGGCGCTTTACGTGAACCCCCAGTGTAAGTCTGCCTCGACACTTTTGAAGGATTGCGAAAGCTGACATGTCGTATAGTCACCCGTTACATTGTTGGATACAAGAAGGAGGAATCTGACAACTTGCTCAAGTTCCTGTACGACCACATTGCCTTGTCGCAGGATCTTCAGGCTCGTATTCGCTGGAAGGCTGGTACTGTTGTCGTTTGGGATGTAAGTTACAGCCTCAACCTATTCTTTCAATGAGAACAAAAGCTAACCTTCGCAGAACCGTGTGGCTTGCCACTCTGCCGTTTTCGACTGGGAGGATGGCCAGCGCCGACACATTGCTCGTCTCACACCCCAGGCTGAGGCTCCCTATGAGACACCCTTTGAAGGTTAGATGGGGCGCTGGAAGCCTTCGAATTTAAAATAACACGCCGCTATGATAATCCCACAAATTGAAGAACATCAATGAATAATTTAAACATCGTGCTTGCATTATCAGCGTAGACCCATACAAACATAGTAATACGTCGGTAATCTCTTCCTCTGTGCCATACATACAAAAACCAACAACTCAAACCTTTTCGCGCCTGAACCGACTCAAAAGCCCGACATGCCACTCGTTAAACCGCCTAGCAGAAAGCGGGAGCATCTCGTTACTCCTAGTCAACGCCTGCGCCATCGCTTCAAAGATCATAGACGGCAACTCCAACTCTTCCACGGACAACGGCGAAGGATTCCCGATTTCCGGATGAAGTAGCTCATCCACATCAGGAGTCTCTTGGTAGAACACCTTCATCGCTTGCTGGGCCATGATACTATGGCCTGCGCTGGAATTGGAGTATCGCATGTCTGGGTTGAAGACCCAAAGCTGCCAGTACAATATTCGTTAGTGTCATTTGTAGAATTTGATATGGCCTAAATTCGGGAGCAAATTGGAGTAGAATGGAATAAGATATCACCTACCACGAGACCGCTCTTCTGGCCACAATGAACGACGAATCGTCGGGCGCTTTCTCTCTCGATCAATTCGAGGAGCTGTGCTGCAACGATTGTTTCTGTCGGGTGGACTTCCCACTTTGTAATGTCTGCGTCGCTGGATGAATTTGTGTTCAGGGATACGTTGGCTTTCAGAAGTCGCCATCCCTTGGCGGTTGGATCTTCCATGCCGATTATGGAATTGCAGTTTGTGCAGTCGAGGGTTCGTTGTGGTGAGACTTTAATGTTCGCTGTTTGCTCTTCGTCATTGCCCTGGATTGCATTGCTTGTCAGCACATTGTACCTAGAACGTGAATTGAACTAATGCGCCGAATAAATACTTGGAAATGAAGAGAAAAGCATTGCATTCAAAGTCATGGTTATATAGAGCACAGCATGCAAGGAAAAATAATATAATGTAACTCTGGTAATCACGCCTGCTCCACTGCTTAGATAGCCGGCGCTGAAAATAGAGAACACCTTGAGTCGCAGAACAGGAAAAAGCGGCTCACACAAGTCCAGTATCGCAAACGAAAAGAGCGAAATCCATCTGGTTAGAGAGGATGACTACTCCCCGAATTTGTGATCCTGTTCCTGTGAGAGTATCACCTTTGCTTGGATTGCAGTACACAAGGTGCATTTCGTCCATCTCGGGCAATTGTATCGGAGGCCACCCCACTGATAACTGAGTGGTCCCCTTCTAAGTTGCCCGGTTCTGGTGATAAAAAGAAGGAAGAAATGATGATGGGAAGAAGAGGGGATATATAAATCTTACCTTTCTCAATCCTATGCAGTCTGTTTCAGCAAGAAGGAAAGTAGCAACATCAACAAAGACCGTCCCAGAAACAGCCACAACGTGGCTATCCGCACCATACCCTTTAGTCTGTGCGGTTTGGTCCTCAATCTCGAGCGCAGTGTCTTTCTCCTCTTTCTCGTGGTCTTCATGGGGGTCAGGTTTGTGGCAGTGCCAGAAATCCATCATTTCAGCCCAGTTGCCACTTGGAAGGTCTTTCCAGACCCATCCCGGGGTAGAGCTTTCGCCTGTGCCCTGATTAACCGACCCGGATATTAGCGAGGAATCAAGAAAAGCTTGTGCACACTCTCGACAACGAATACGAGTCGAAGACGACATTTCATCTGCTGTCCAGGGTGTAAATTCATCGATTAGTTCATCCCGTGGCGCCAGCGCCTCGTCGTTAGGATCGACCTGCATGCGGAAGGAATAATCGTGGCTGGGGTCCTTGGTGCCACCGGGATAGTTGGTGCTACTGGAATCCCTGGTGCCACTGGGATGCCCGGTGCCACTGGAATTCCTGGTGCGACTGGGATCCCTGGTATCACTGGGTTCCGATTTTGGTGCTGGCCCAGTGGGTGTCTCCAACACGCGCCGGGACGCATCGCTAACGCGTGCGGGCAGTTTGATTGTTTCTGTGACATGTTTAAATGGTTCTGGTAGGGAGACTGTGACTGCTTTTCTTGATTCTGAAAGTTGGATATCTGGTCGAATTCCGTCAAATTGTGTGGTCTCGGGAAGTGACACGTAAAGAGTTATCTGGCGGATGTTTGGTAGAAATTCTGCGTGTAGATAGAGGGGGATATCGGCATCCTGCATTGCAGATGTTGTACAAGCTCGAATGTGTCCCAGGCAGGGATGGTGCTTGATGCTCCGTCAAAAGGATAAGGCGAGAGAGGGTGAGCAACAGGGGTGGTTATTTAGCAATCATGTGGAGCTGGGTTTCTGACTGTCTAAGGCCATGAGAAACATGTCGCGCTTAGATTATTTGGACGTTGACTACGCCGCAGTGGTGGATGTCATGACCGCGGTTGTCAAATGCAAACAATGCAAACAACCTTGGGTACCTTGGGAGCCAACATCTACACGTGACCCCATGTATCGCTTCGTCGAAATGAAGAAACGATCATCTATCAATATATTTTCTTCGATTATTCATTAAATCATACATAAATTTGAGTTAAGTAGAGTATGAACAAAGCCTACAGATCATATCCGACAAAATTCCCTCCCCAGCACTTGAACTCAGTCACAAATCGCACAGCAGCCTTCAAGAAGAAGCTATCGGAATCGCCCCAAGTCGAGGCCAGTTCCTTCAGTGCTCGAGTGGTCTTGACAAAGTAAACATCGGATGAAAATTCACCCTTGACAGCTTTCTCAGCAACCCATTTCCAGTCCTTTCCATTCAAATCATAATTCCGGATTTGGTCCATTTTGATCTCGGGCCGCAGTTGCGCGACGTAGATGCCCACACAGATCAACCACCATTGGCGAAGAAGAGAGATTTGAAACTGGGGAGGAATGAAAGGCAACATGACACGGACCGCGTGGCTGGTTGCGAGGTTCATAGCGAAGAACCAATCGTAATTCCCGGCCGAATCTGCTGTCCCAACTAGCAAAGCAGCTGCAAGCTCTTGGCTCTCGCGGAACTGTTCAATTGGATTGTCGATCTTCCATGCTTTCCAGTGCTTGAGAAGCACGGCGTTGTGGCTGACAAAAAGGATATTGAGGTTGTCGTCGCCGGGAGTGGAAAAGAGGCCATCTAAGTCCTTATCTTTCCGGACCATGTCAAATATTTCAAAGAGTGACTTTGATTCATATTGTACCTCATTTTTCGAGAGTTTAGGGTCCTCCAGGGACTTGTATATGTCGTTGTGACAGGTTGCTGCGAGGCCGAGTGCTTCCATTGCAATTTCACGACTGTCCATTTCAAAGGCGTATGCAAGATGAATCAATGGCAATCCAACTAGACAGATGTTAGAGCGTGATCCCCCCGGAAAGCTGAAAACATACGAGAAGCCATTATAGAATCAAACATGGGCTCTTTGCCAGTATACAAGTATTCGGCCACAACTTCCTTCCAGTCATAGCTGCGGTGAACGACTTCATCTTCAAAAAAATCCACAAAGGCTCGATCAAATCTGGTTGGCGTTAGTGAGGGGTCCCAAGCTGGAAAGGCCCAGACAAGCCCAGCAACCCACCCTCGCCGTCCCAAATGACCTCGCCAATCAAGAGTAGTGATTTCTGCCGGTGAATCCTTCCATTTGACTAGACCAGACACTTCATGCTCGTATAGGCAGCCTAAAGTATCGGCATCTGCGCCTTGCAGAAAGGAGGAGCTCAAGAGCTGCAAGTAGGTCAATTTCATGGACTAACGAGTAATCCATACATAAAAAGCTTATGTTACTAATGCAATGCAAATAACTCACATGTATTAACTGATTAGGGAAGTTTCGACGGTCGAACAGCGAGTTCTCGACATGATTCAATTTTAGTAGGTGCTTCAATGCCCGAGCTGGCTTGTCTTCAGCTGTCTCGGTTTCATGGACGTGGACAGGGGGCAGATCGATCGCCTGAGTTGGCGTGGACGAGAACAGGCCAAGCGAAGGCAGTGATGGCCACCGAACAGTAAACATTTTGGCGATTAGTGAAAGCTATGTGTAGGCGTTTGGATGGGATTGTTGGGAAACCGTCACGTGAAGCAGAACATCGTATGACGTAGGAAATTTAGGTTATCAATCTGGTGACCTCTGGTCACATGACCTAATGAATCGGACGGCTTCCAGCTACTCACCTTGCTTCAGATATACAAAAGCATCTTTTTGATGAATTTGAAGATTGGGTAAATTGATGCTTTTAGTATAAGCCAAGAAATTATATCATTTTGCGACATATTACTATTTCTAAATGGGAAAGAGTGCCTGGATTGAGGGATATTCCATTTGAAAATTCATGATTTTGCGCCATAATTTACATTGCATGTATATCCTGACCATCTGAACCTTACGCCTTATGATGTTCAACCATTGGAATCGGCTGCTCCGGCTGAGCAGCAACCTCTCCTTGGAAGACTTCCATTTCAAGACGGGGACCGACGAAATTCTTGCGTCCATCTACCATCCACTGGATGAAAGAAATAATAAAGACAATACCAAATGCCGCAACACAATAATCTGTTACATCGAATTAGCTTTATGTTTTTGCATCACAAAAAGAGAGTCAACTCACTCATGTTGCTACCAGTGGCAGGCAGCTCAGGGGGGAAGAGGAAGAGGATAGTAGTCAGAAGAATGTACACCAACGAGATCTGAGAAGTTTTAGTCAGTATTAATTTCAGTGAGACGAAGGGAAAGATGTCATACGATGTTGATGGTCCAGCCAACGATTTCTGGAAGGACAAATGAGCGCTCCGGTAGCATTTTTCTTCCTCGGCAGCAGTTCACTGCAATTGGCATTCCATATGAAAGGCCGAGCAGCACCACTGATGCTGAGACAATAGCATTGAAAGCACTTGGAGATGTTAGCAATATACAGGATAGAGTGTTATGTATATGCTTACCTGGATGAGCCCAAGAAGATACAACCGAATATGACCACGAGAGCCAGATTGAGATATAGCGAGTTCAATGGGACGTTTAGTTTGGGGTGAACACGGGAGAAGAAGGGAGACGCAGGGAGACCGCCATCACTATAACTATATCAGTACAATGGCCAAAGTTGAAGATGAATAAGAACGTACCGCGCGAAGGCGTAGACCATACGACTGCTAGTAGTCATAATAGCGATTGCAGCGAACAAAGCGCAGACTAGGGGGAAGCTGGAAAGATGTCAGTACAACAACGAAGAGAGAGGAGGGAAGTGACACCTACATCAAGAGACAGATAGCGCCTGCGTTGCTCGAAGTGGCATTCTTCAAGATTGCAAGGAGCGGAGTTGCCGCAGAATCAATAACTTCGTTGATATCGCCAGCCACAAAGAGCAGCACAATAAGGAAGATTGCTCCAGTGACAGTACCGATCACGACACAAGCAATCATGATCTTAGGTCCCTCAACCGAGGGGTTGGGAATTTCTGTATTCCATTAGCCTCAGCTCCAAGATCAAGTGCGAACTCTCAGAAGCTACCTTCAATCATGTGGGCGACACCGTCAAAGCCGGTAACACCAAGACCACCTTGCAGAAGCTATGAATATGTTAGAGATGCTCATGAACTTTCGCACGAACGACATACCCCAAGCAACCACGCAATTCCATCAGGCCCTATAACAGTCAGTTCATGAAGCATAGATAGATAATGATAGGCGAAACTTACAGCCTGTTTCATTGATGAAATCGGTGAAGACAAATCTGTTCATTGTCAGTGATTTAGTTCTAGGATTGTCGAGCAGACAACACGTACTCTCCGGAGTTATAATTCGGCGAGGCACATGAAAGCACAGTAATGCAAATGATGGCAAATCCTGACAGGGACCAGATGACTGTGGGAATTAGTAATAGTAAGAAGTCTCCGACAGCTCGGTATAGGGTATCTCACAGGCTGCCTTGGTGACATAAGGCATAATGTTGTTCATAAAGGCATTGACGAGGAAGGCAACGATATTGTAGCCGATGTAGATTAGGAATTGGTGCCAGCGCTGGGGGTTATAGCTCTGGATATGAAAGTCAGTCAAATATATCAACGCTGTAGCTCAGAATAACCTACCGGGTTCATGAGAGAGATCACACCCAGAATAAGCTGACTGCCCAAAAGACCAGCGGTTGCGACCAGCGCAACCCAGCCAGAGCAGTTGATCCAGCCAGTAATCCAGGAGAGAATTGGCATCCATTTTTTCCACGAAGTCACAGCGACCCAGTGATATTGGCCTCCGGCTGTGGGGTATGCAGAAAGAAACTCGGCTAGGGAAGTGGCCATGCACAAATTACAGATTCCGGCTGTAATAAGACCTATTGAGACTCGTGTCAGCTCTGGATTGAGAATAGACAGAGAGCCAGGCGGATACATACCCCAGACAATACTAGTGCTGCCTCCCGAGGGCAAACTGAGAGACAAACTTGCTGATAAAGCGGTCCATGACTGTCAAAAGTCAATTGTTGATTCTCGTGGACTTGGTTTCCGGGCGCGTCACGTACATTTAGAATGGCGAAAGCAAGGCCCAGCATTGAACTTCAAAACGAACAGAGGTTAGCACAATCTAGGAATCCATGTTCACTTGCAGCACATACATCAGCGAGTAATTTCGCTTTAGCTCCGACTTATGGCCCAGCTGGGCCAGCTGAGCCTCGTCGCTGTTGTATTCTTCTTTGTCCATATCGAGTGCTGTGTATCACAAGCAACAAGTGATGGCAAGAAAAGGGCAGGTAAGGAGGAACAAGGGTATTATTAAACCAGTCCCAGATTGCATGACCTGACAACGGAATTTCGAATATCAAATTCTCCAATCTTGCCGTTCTGCACTACCGTTGGCTCCCCGCGGGGGAATACAGCGAGTACGGAGAAGTGTTAGGTAACGGATTTGGGGTTATAGAACATTAGCCAGGGCGGCGATAACCGGCCGTGCCTGTGACTGGCTGGGCGGACCGAGATCGGCAACTTCGGCCAGTCAGAGCTGTGAAGTCAATTAGCTACCAAGGCTTTTGGTCAATCGCGGACCGGTGATCCATGGCTTGCGGCGGCAGCCCCAGTGCTTATGCCACGATCGACGTGTCATTGGTCAATTGCTAACCCCACATTTATTGACTAGCGGGAAGAAGTCTAACTCGGGGAAATGGATAACTGCGAAAAGACATATCTGATATGCAGGATACATGAAGATAGATTGT